ATCTCCAGCAGCCCTGGGGAGCCGGGAAGGAGCAGCTGGGGCCTCCCCGACGCCTTCCTGAGCAGGGGCCTGGAGCAGCTGGGTTTCAGCCAGCAAATCCTCCTCTACCCCCTGCCCGGCTTGGGACGGGCTGGAATTGCCGCGTCCTCCCTCTTCACTGCAACAGTCTTCCCAACTCTCAGCTACCACCTGCGCCGGTGGAGCGGGAAGGCCCAAGGAGTTAAAGCCACGGCATAAACCTGCGCTCCTGTGTTCTTCAGCTGCTGGGGTCTCCTTTTCTTCTCCCAGAGGTGCCTTTTCCGTTAAAAAAGTGCTTTCTGCACCTGCTGCAATGCAGCCCGTGCCTGGGCAGGCAGTCGCAGTCGGTTTAACTGCGGTGGGATGGTGTTCTGTACACGAACGAGGGCGACCCGCTTGCTCCACACAGCCCTCCGCTGCCTGCTGGGCTCCTGGAGCCGATCCGGCAGCAGCAGCAGCTCCTCTGCTGTCCGTCCCGCTGCCGTGCGGCTCCCTGCACGGAGCAGAGCTGCGGGAAACACCGTCTGCATCCCGGGCGGCAACACCCTCTTCCGCAGCGCGCTGCACCGGGAGCGTCTCCCTTCCTTGGCTGTCAGTTTTCTCTATTTCAGCTTCCAGGAAACAGAAGTCCCCTCCCCGGCAGAACCCAGCCACAGCAGCAGGGTCCCCTTCCATCCCCTCGAGCTCTTCACTTCTGTTTTCTTTGCAAGACTCCACGTGTTCAGTTGCGGTGCTGCACACCCCTGCTGAAGGAGCCTCCTCCTCCACGCTCGCCCCTCGTCGAGGGGCCTGTGCTTCCACTCCACAACAGTCCTGGCAAGCAGCACTGTCACTACTGCCTTCCAAGTCACTGCTCAGCAAACCTTCAACGCTCCTGTTTTCCTGGTCCCCCTCATCCCAAACAGCATCTTCCACAGCGCTGTCTTCTGGATAAAGAGATGGCTGCACAAAATCCTCTCCTGATTCCAAATCCACATTTCTTTCCAAATCTGCGGGTAGGGCTGCACAAGAATCAGCTTCCTGCTGGTTTTTAGGCTCACCCGGCTGCTCCTGTAGCTCTGCCCCGATGTTGTTAGCAGGAGACTCCGGATCGCAGCTGCTCCGGTTGCCCTCACGGGTCTCCTGGTCACCTGCAGCGACACGTGCTCCGTGGGGGCTCCTTCCATCGCTGCCACTATCCCATGTGGCCTCCGCAGATCCAAGCACGGAGATTTCTGTCACCTTCCAACCTCGGTTGGGGCCTGGGTTTTCTTTTTCAGCAGCAAATAGAAGTGCCTGATCTCCCAAAGGCTGCTCCTGCTCTATGCAGCCACTGTGCTGCTGCTGAGGGTCACTAGGAATTTCACCTAAACTCAGAGGTGATTCAGAACTAGTGACTGGCAGCAATTTCCCTCCCGGATTTTCCCAGACCGTCCCTGTGTTGGGAGAGCACGAGGCTGCAGACGCTGTCCCTCTCGCCGACATTTCTGACCCTGCGAGCGTGGCGTTGGCGCGGTCACATTCCGCTGACCCGCCAGGCGCGGGCTCCGGCTCCTGCGCTCCGTGCGGAGCCGCCCCGGCTGCAGGCGCTGCAACACCCGCATGTTCTGCCCCTTGCTCTTCCTCCCGCTGTTCCGCAGCACCGCGCTCACCCTCCAGGGCCCTTTCTGGTTTCATAGGGTTACCATTTTCTGAGTTATTTCTTATGTCAGCGACTGGGTCTGTTGAGCTGTCAGTAGAATAGTTTTCTTCCTTGGGATAATATTCACATGTTTCCATTTCTGTAGAACGGGCAGCCTGACGTGAGGCCTCCCATGCACAAGCACCGGGCTCCCGCCGCTCCTCCGAGCTCTCTGTGTGAGGACCTGCCTCTCCTGCTGCCTTCTCCTCGTACGTCCTCACTACGGACACATTATTTGTATCTTCTTTTGCGGTGTCAAGTTGATTCACAGCCCGAGCGCTGAGCCCTGGAGTCTCAGCAGTTTCATATCCCAATTCGCTGCCAGACCCTTCCCAACCCTGAAGCATTGATGTGTCCGCTGCAAACTCATCGTCCGCCCTCTCAATGCCCATGGGAACCTCGGGCTCCTCATGAGCAGACACTGCTGAACGAACTTCCATTTCTACTTCTTCCCTGTCCCGTTTTTCCTCCAGGAAGAGTCCGCAAGATTTTAGGATGGATCTTGGCACACAGGCTTGGCCTTCACTTTGCTCCACAGGAACGAAGTGAGGATTTATCAGCTTTCCTTCTCCTGA